ACCCTCCTTAGTTCATTCACTTCCAACATATTGAGGTTTACAGGATGATTATTAGTGTGATTAATTTTATAGGCACAATACCTTTAGATGATACACTGTTTATAATGGTAAGAGACTCTTTTGCGCCACGAAGATTATCTCATGGCAAAGACCCCAAACAACTGTCAAACTTAAATATAAAAAAATATATATTTTAAATACAAATATAATCATACTATATTTGTTGATCTTTTTTTGGTTGATAAGTTGAATGTCCAAAATATGTTACTTCCAGATATTTTTAAAATAATAAACACAGTTTGCATTTAATCTGGCCTATCAAGGTAAAGATAACATTTCAATAATGCTTTTAGAAACCCATGCAATGGGGAAAAGTTTAGAAAGTGGATTAGTGGATGTTTGGGAATGTTCCTGTCATTATGTGATATTTTTGCTGAGAACCATAATAGGTGTGTGTCACCTATAAAAATTCTCATATCTTCACATTGTTTTTTTAAAAAGAAGTTGTAGTAGAACTTCTCCAATTCTCTAAATAAAGAATTTGTGTGATTTTAACTCAACGTATTAAAACTATAAAATGGCAACACATTCAGTGAGTTGCAAGACTAGTTGACATAGCTAAGATGGAAATTTATTAGTCAAATTTTAAAATAAAATCTTTGCAAAATTGATTAAAGGAATTTTGAAATGATTTTATTATATTCAGTACAACTAATGATACATTATTTTTATTTGGATCTAAATGGCTTTGCGTTGCATGTTTTTCAACAATGGCAACAGTTTAAAGTCCTGAAATCATTTGAACTTAGACCTAGAACTTCAAATTGGTATATCACAAAGATTTTTAAAAGCAATTAGACATATTCAATAACATTTCTCCTAAATATTATTTATGGCTAATGAGGTCAAAGGATTTTTCTACCATTAATAAATGAATTCATTAAAATATTATCTATTTACTTCATCTTTTTAATTTTCTATTATTGTGACTACTTTATAATGGATAATATATTTATAAAGTAGTTTGAGGATAAAATTTACCAAAAAATAAGTATACATACATAAAATGGACACTCATACTAAAAAAAAAGAAAGAAAGTCTCTGAGATAGAAAACTATCTCAAAGCAGAAATCTTGAAACAGAAATTCATGATGCCTGTCTAGCCCAGAGTTGGTACTCAATAATATACATTCAATGAAGAAATGAGCTTCTTCTCAAGGTTCACAGATGTTGTCACATATTGCAGGGTTTTCTTTTTTAAGGCCGAATAATATGTCATTGCATGTATATACCACATTTTTCTTTATGCACTGAGGGCATTATACCGAGTAAAATAAGCCAGTCACAGAAGGACAAATACTACATGATTCTACTTGCATGAGGCATCTAATATAGTCAAATTCATAGAAGCAAGGAATAGAATGGTAGTTGCCAGGGGCTAGAGGGAAGAGAGAATGGAGGAGGTATGCTAGTCAACAGGTATCACATTTCAGTTATGCAAGATGAATAAGTTCTAGAGATCTTAAGTATAACATTGTGCCTATAGGTAACAGTAGTATATTTTACACTTAAAAATGTGTTAAAAGAATAAATCTCTTAAGTTTCCTTACCAACATTTAAATTTTTAATTAAAAATTTTTAAATTAAAAGAAATTTAAAGCCCTTCCACAGCAACCATCACCATACCTGGAAGAAATGACAAATGGGTTAAGAACATCAGCTTATAAAAGTTTCTACCCAAGCATTCAGAAAAAAAAAAAAAATCTGAGAAGCATCATGTGTCTATAGAGGAGATGTCATTATAATCAATTACAATCATCCATGTCAATATTTTCTAAATGGAATGTAATAATAGGGAATCTCCAAAATCAATTCAATTCAATGAGGAATTATTGAGTGCCTCATATTTGACTCGCAAATGATATAAGTTAATATAAAATAAGTTATCTATGACTTCCGATTTCAAGAAATTCATGTTTAACATTAGAACATGTCTTCAAACTTCTACTTGGAGATGGGCGCAGACTAATATTGGGAGAATTTGAGCCACTTGGTATGAGTTCATTCTTTAGTAGATGTCCAGCTTCTTCATCTCACCACAGGTTCATCTCCTCCTTGCTCCCCTATTTCATGCTGGAAATGGACAGACTCATGAATTAGCATCTAGTAAAGCACCAACCTATGCTGAGCTGACGACCCTCTTCATGTTTAAGGTCAAGTGGTTTGCACTTCTTTCATGATTTTAAAGGATCTTCCCCTACAGTTGAGCCTCAGTAAAGCTGAGGGGAGGGTATCTCAAATTTCTCTTCTTCCATGTCTTTTTTCTGGGTTATGATCAACATGGAAAATAAGCAAAAAAGATAATTTAGATTATTTAATCCAAAGTGAGTTATATAAATGGATGTACTATTGTCCCAAAACATCTGGAAACAATCCATATGGAACAATAAGGTGGACGATTAAAAAAATAATAAAAATAATTACCCAGTAAAGATTAACCATGAAGGCAGTAAGTTAGAAGCTTAGTAAACT